ATGTTCGTTGCACCGTGGCGCGTAGCGGCTATTTGGAGCGTGAGACGAGCGTTTCCTTTTTTCGCGACCGCCGATCGAAAGACAGGAAAGAGGAAGGCGGCGATTTGGAAGGGAGATGATAGTTTTGCTTTTACACGCGCGAAAGTACGGGCCCGATTCGTCTCGGGAAATTGCAGCGTGCGATGCTACAATTATCACAATTGTGTATGGCCGCGTATCCAGGCACGGCAAAAGTGTGCAAAACACAGATTTCTCACACTTGAGATTAACTTTAAGTTATTGAAATTACAAACAAATATGCAATATGTTCAAAGATCAACAAATTTGAACGTCTTGAATATGTTTTTTACCTCTTCAATATTAGACCCTTAATATCCAAAATATTTAAAAAAATATTTTAATTAGAAAAAAATTAGAATTTTGTAGAATACACGAAAAGTTCCTCGGCGCATTGTTAGTATATGATAATGAGAGTTTTTCCAAAACTTTCCAAAAATTTTTCCAAAGAGATAACTCAAAAAGGAAAATAAACAGAATAATTGCTTCTTTTGGCAATAGAGAATAATATTTTCCTGTTTGTAGGATATCTGCGCGCATCAAGAAATTGCTGAGAATCACGCAGTCTTTCTCGAAAATCACGATTCGATCGATGCGGAGTCGAGCGAGGGAACTCGCTCGAGTGAAAAAGCCGAAAGTTCCGTGAGGCGTACAGTCAGTGTGCGAGTGAATGCACACAATACTCGCGATTGAAATCATTTCCGGCATTGCGCGGCCGTGCGCCGCGACGGCGGCGAGCCGATCGTCCCGCGCTCGCGAAATCGCGCAGAGCGTGCCACGAGTGTGCGGAATTAATAAACAGCGATGTTTATTGCGCCTTTGCAGCCACCGGCGCAGCGAGACACGGCCGAGACAAAAAGGATCCTCGGAGCGTAGGTACGCTGCGCTCTCGCTCCGCTCCGCTCCTCTCCTCTCCTCGCCGCTGCAACGCCGCGTGCACGGCGTTACGCAACGACGGGCTTTTAGTGGGCCGTATAGTTGCGCCATTCGCATAGTCGTCCGCTTATAGTCGCCTCCGATCGCCACGCGCCGGCCGAGGCGACGCGAGAGCGTAGGCTCGCGTTTACGCCGCCTATTCGATTTCACGTTGCCGGCCGGTCCGGTGTAACCAGCGGCTCGCAGGCAATCCGCTGGCAAATTGCGACCGGACATCCGGAATTCGGTGCGGATCGTTACTCGAACTCCGCTCGCGCGGCTCTGCCATTACGCCCCTGCAACTCGGTGCCCTGCAACTCTTGTCAATTCCACCTAACGCACGAATTGTCGATTCCATCTAACGCACGAATTGTCTCGGGAGAGCGAGAGATGATCGGTTGCGCTTCCTACCCAGACGTCGTTATGGACGTTGAACCTCTCATATACCGGCCCGAGCCGCGCTCGCCTCTTCTTCGCTCTTTCTTCGCGTCGCGCGGCATACACGAGGGGAGTCCTGAGTAAAATTCGCGAGGGGTTTTGCGTGACAATGTGGGGGAAAAGATCCAAACGCGGACCATGGTCCAAACACGATTTATATTTTGGCCGATGTTTCGACTTTGTACGTTCTACCGAGAATGTTTGAATCATTTTCTTCGAGGCACAGCACGCAACGAAACTTGATTGCACGGTTGTTTTCGAGTCAGTTTGGATTTTCTGTTTCTCGACATCTGAAAAGTTGCCTGGGTAGGTATATCCCACTTTTATTTAGAAATGACATTTAGTAGACATCCCACTTGCTTGATAGCACGTACATTCGCCCACAGAAAATTTAAATATATCAAGATATAAAGGGGAAAAAAGGTCATACTTGGGCCTTCTCCTCTATCTTTCCGACATTACGTGCGTTAGGTGGAACCGAATTGACAGCTCAGTCCAGAACCGACGCAAACTAGAACGTCGGTCTCGTCGCGAAAGTTACAATGTAGCTTTCAATGTAAATGTTACTATGTAACTTGCATAAATGTTAATGCAATTACAATATAAATGTCGGACGTTCGGCGTTTAGAAGGTGAAAAGGTGCGCGAGGGTCGCGTCGAGGATTGCATGCCGCGGCGCAAGGCGTGCCAAGGCGGTGAACGCGCGCGATGCTTCGCCAAATTTAAGGCGTCGGCCTTGAGGAGAGTGAGTTACCGCGGTCCGCGGACGACAGAGTCGTCTCTTTGTCCTAAGTGCGCGGCGGTGCGCACGGTGTGCGCTGCAACGGCGGAACAGAGGGGACATTCTCGGCGCGGCCTCACGGTCGCAGCTGGTGCCAATTTGCCCGACCTTGTGCCGAGTTGGCGAGCAGTTTTGACACACCGGGCGGAGGCGAGAGAGAGAGAGAGAGAGAGAGAGAGAGAGAGAGAGAGAGAGAGAGAGGAAGAGAGAGAGAGGGAGGGAGAGAAAGAAAGAGAGATGGATAGAGACAGTAGCACAGCGCGCGTCGTTCGGCCGGTGAGAGCGAATGCGAGAACGGGCGAGAGCGAGTCGGCGATGACAACCACGGGAACGGATGTCAACGAACCCGCGTGCACCGAAATAGCGCGCGCGAGGACGTAAACGGCGAAACGGGGCGTAATACGCGATGCAAACCTAAAATTACGGAGTCGTCGTTGTCGTTGTTGCGGCGCGATTGTGGCGAATAACGAAGGAAAGAGAGGAAAGGAGAGAAGAGAGGTGGGAAAGAAAGAGCGCGAGAAAGATGATATTCGTGGATGTTAGCGCGAACGGCGAGTTACATTGTTGCGAGAGAGCGATGCGAGAGCGAAGGTCGACTCGATACCCCACGAGTCATGCACGATTACAATTGAGTCGGAGCATACGAGTCGCCGAGAAATCGCAGGCGAGTCGCCGGGGCTCTCTCTCTCTTTCTCTCTCTTTCTCTCTCTCTCTCTCTCTCTCTCTCTCTCTCTCTTTGGGGGGAATTCGTCGCTTGTCTGTCGCGCGTAAGATATTCCTCGGTGGTGCGCGTGGGTGGCGGGTCCGCGGAATGCCGATCGTAACTAGCGCAGTAGGTAGGCAGCGATAAATAAATAATTCCGATCGAACCCGCGGCCCGGAGATATAGGTGTGTACCTGACCAGCTCGCCGCTGCCCACGTAGCTGCGCGCACAGGTTACTCGGCACCAATGTTGCACGAGCGGACCTTAGGCTGCCGGCTCCTCGCCGCGGAGCTCTTGATCGAGCACGTCAGAAACGAGATATACGCTAAAAATTCTTGCAAAATACGTGGAAGTCGAGAGGTGTGCATAAATCCACAAAAGTGACACTTGCAACGACTCGATCAAACAGACTTGTGAAGGTAATTCCAATACTTTTCTTTTATTCAAATAATCAACAAAACAAGTATCCGTACTAAACGACAAGTAACTGTAAAATTAATGTGCAAGCTACCTCATTCTAATCCACCTTCTCTCTCGTGATTTTGTCGCGTTAATTTTACGGTTACTTATTATTGATTGTTAGAGTGAAGGGGAAATGTCGGGCTATTTTACGGCTCTGCTCGATCGATGGCGAATAGCATTTTGTGAGTATATCATTTCACCTCACCGTATTTTGCAGGTATTTTTAACGTGTACTTCCCTTGAGCGCTTCTGGCGTCATTAATCAAGATGGCCGCGGCAAGAAGGAGACTGAAAACGCACGAGGCATTGCCTCTAATCGTTCCCGTTCGAGGTCCCGTTGATTACCGCGAAGCGTGATGAATCTCTTTAGAAATCCCTCGTAGAATGAATGTGCAACTCGAAATCGTATACGCCAAGAAACATGTGCATCTGTTTTCGCGAAAGCGCGACCACGGCCACGTTTCGTTTTCGAGACGATATACCGAAGAACATTGTTGCGATCTATGAGGCGCACGCGAGCCGATTCGTTTTCTAAACGACGCTTCTTTGTTAATGCGCGCGGATCAATTATCTCACATATTCCAACGGTATGCGTATTTGCCTTTCGGGTGGACTGTGTTTTCAACACGCCTGCGAAACTTGATGTAGAAATACTATACTCTCTCTTTCTCTCTCTCTCTCTCTCTCTCTCTCTCTTTCTTCTATAAAGCGAGAAATCCCGGTATTATCTTTTTTGTTTCACTTTTTCAGAGTGTCATTTTTTCAGCGATGAAAATCCACGTATATGTGTACCCGCGCAATTTCCAACGTCGCACGTGCAATATCGCGGCGGCGGTGTGTATGAATTATTAAGGGAACATGGACGATTTTATCTGGCCACGTAAGCGCGCCTCGTGTCGCGTGAATTGCGCGAAAATACGCGCTCACTATCTCCGCCGAAGCGACGGAAGATCAGGTGACAGAGAGAAGCGTGCCCGCGCTTCCTCCTGTCTTTTTTGCTTTTTCGATTTTTCTTTTCTCTCTCTTTCTTTTTTTTTTTTTCTTTTCGTCGCGCCACCGCAATTCGGAGAGCGTTCACAAGTGCGTCCATGCATCGGCGCGTGTGGGCACACAAGGACGTGAGGCCGGCTTTGCGTGTCTTTATTTGTTCAGGCGTCGTGCACGCTATAGAGACGCCGGTAATGCGGAATCCCGTGCCGAAACTATAACGCAAACGCCAACAGTCGGCAATATTTAAATCTGAATTTCGCTCACGGACAGAAAAATTTCGCGTGTCGCGCGGTAGACGCCCAACGGCCATCCAATTAAACTCCCGCCGTGCAAAAATTGAATCAAAATTGATAAAAAGTGAAAGAAAATAAAAAAGAAGAATTTTCTTCGACAAGCCCAATGATATATTGTTTTATAAGTTTTAAAAGTATCAATTCCCGGACATTTTTATTGTTTTAGTCTTTGAATATGAATATTTTAACTTTCAATGCGGAATACATATATATATTTATATTTAGAAATAATTGATGTGGAAAATATCTGTATTTAACGATCACAACAATAAGAATGTCAAGAATTAAGTACGTGATTAAATACGTACCGGACATTAGTACTTTTACCTTTAATTACTGCAAAATTACTTGGTGTTTTTACCTTTTAACTACTGCAAAATTACGACCGATGTCTTCGTGTGAAGGATCGTTCACAACACGGTTGCACCTATAGAAGCAAAAATGATTGATTTAACTAAAGTTATAGTTATTTTCGGCTCAAAACATATTTTTTGCTTAAAATGGTAGCAATAACATATACATGGCATTATATTAATACTAACATTATATTGAATTTAATAAAAAAAGAATGATTTTCATTGCCATAATTTATAATAATTATTTCTCTGTGTGATTATAGTTACCAAACATTTTTTCTCAGTGTATTTCCTTCGTGTAAACTCGTGAAAAATGAAAAGTTTCGTTGAACTCGTCGATGAAGCTTTTCATTATTTACAAAAATTGACGAAGAGAACAGATATACATGATCAACTCACAGACTTTAAAACGTGACTGCGAGCGCATTTTGTAAACGACCTTTAGCAGCTGCAAAACAGGACGCGGTTGACTAGAAGATAATGTTCTCTGCGGCGCCGATAATAATCATCGATCATCGTCTGCCGGTGTAGCCGGAGGCGTTTCGTTTGCCCGACATAGATGCATATCCAGAGATGCGACGTTTCGCCGCATCGAGTCGGCGGCCGCGGATATAAAAGTCGTAAACGCGCGCGTATCGTCGCACAGATAATTTCACGAGGCGCGGAGAAGGCGAAACCGCGCTCGCTCGCTCGCCTAATGCCGTTGCGCCTCGCATTGTCCGCACCGACGCCCACCCGGGTCCGTTTATAAATCCGCAACGGGCGCGCGTGCTTAATCCGCGCTTACGCGAGCGTGTGCATGCGAGAGCGCGCGCGCGCGCGACAATGCGCCTCGCCGCGAATGCGCGGATTTATCGGCGAGATGCTGAGACAATGCGCGCCGAGATAGGACAGCTCTATTAGGATCGCACCGAATTCCCGTGAAAGGCACTTAGCTTTCGGCATTGTTGCCGGGTTAACGATTCACGCGCGACGATATCAGCTTATCGCGCGATATACACCGACCGCGTGGAAGAATGGACGCGCGATCGAGAACGAGAGCCGCGGTTTTAGCGAAGAACGAGCGGCAAATGTCGGGACGCGCGCAGATACGCGAGAATGAGAGCGGGCGTGTATCGACGATAGTCGACGATAACGACATGGGAGAAGATCGCACTGAGAGAAAATAATGCTTGCGTAACTGAAATCTAACTGAGATTATGTCTTGCTCCAATCACATATTTCTCTCTTGTTCTAACACGGGAAGAAAGTATTAATATAATTGAATAGGGCCAGACGAAAAATTCACCGATGAAAAAAATATGTCTCTTACTATGACCGAAAATATTTATCTGAACATTCAGTTACATTAAAACGCGGTTGAGGTAATTGAAAGCAATTGGCTCTGAGTGAAAATTCACTATAAGAATCTTTCTGTTTGTACGTTTTTCATTTGATTCCCAGATAACAAAAAATTGAGTTACACTAATCGTTTTTTTAGTGGTAACATGCATATAAGATTGTTATTGCTGACACTATAGCTAAAAAAAATGATTTTCTTCATTTAGAGTATAATTTAGAGTAATCATTTCTCTTATAGGATTATAGTTACACATATCGAGTATTATTCTCTCATTGCCGCGGAATATTAATTAGACCTCAACTGGCCGCAGGTTGCGGTTTCGAAGATGTCCGATTCTCGGATGAAATTCGGTGAAATAGTCTCAAGTGCTTTCAAATAAATACATTTAAAATCCGCTTCCTTTCTTTCGATTGCGTCTCTCGGCCCTTCCCGTCGAATTAAACCAGTTTCCCAAAGGTAATGCTCAAGTGTAATATCGGTAGTTTAGATATAAGTGCTACATGGCCGGACGTGAGTCAGCAAACCATTAAAACACGGACGAAGTAATGATCCCGGCTGACGTATATCGAGTAATACTTACTGTCGCTGTATCGTGCGGGCGTCGCTTTCGCAAACGCGCGTATCACATTGCCCGATAATTCGTCGTCAAGTGAGTGAGTGAGTGAGTGAGTGAGTGAGTGAGTGAGTGAGTGAGTGAGTGAGTGAGCGAGCGAGCGAGTAAGTAAGGGAGCGGGCGAGCGAGTGCGAAGAACGCGACGAAGACTTCACCGGTGGGCTTTTTTGCGGCGGGGACGGCGAGGGAGAAGAAGACACCGGAGACCGAAAGAGACGAAAACGTATGGCGAGAGACCTCGATTCACGGCGGAGTTCGAGGTCGGGCCTTGTCTACCCTACCAACCTACCTACCTACCTACCTACCGAATGCGGGCTTTTGGGCCCGCCTCCGACCTTCGCGGCGGGCTGAGCAAAGGACGGCCTCGATTTCGTTTTATTAACACGTAGACTCCGACAAACATTCGGGCCGAGGGATCGACCTCTTCCGAGGCCGAGCCGGCGGCACGGTCCGACCGAAACGTCGGGAAGACGCCAAGATGGATGGCGGAGTGTGGGAGGACAACCCAACAGTTGTCTTGATCCTCGAGCGCTCGCGCACTCTTTGGGACGCGTCTACGAGCAATTTTTCCGCACGTGTGTTTTGTGCACACTTGCTGTCATTTGTCTCGGTATGTTCTCTCCGATTTGATCGATCGAAATCAGAAGCCTTATGCTGCAATTCTAGACAAAATCGTAAAACTCGTAACTTCCCAGACAGCACAATGTTCAAAATCGGGTCATAAGACGTCTTTAAGACATCTTTAAGTTTATAAGGTAATGTCTTAAAGATGTCTTAAAGACGTCCTAAAGACATCTTATGACTCGATTTTGGACATTTGTGCTGTCTGGATTGTTTTCGTAAGAGCTTATGAGTAGATTTGCAATTATATGCGGACTGTATGTCATGTGATAACTTGTAAATATCTATGATTTTGTTTTTGTTTTTTTCGTAAGCGATTTTACGATTTTACGATTTACTCGTATATTTGCTTAGAATTGCAGAATTGTAGCAATTTTTAGATCGACTGATCGCGGTGCGAGGAAGAAATTTGTGTCCTTTGCAAGAATATTATAAAATCTTGTCGGGGAAGAAGTTGATTCGACTTTGGGCAATAAGCAAATCGAACGTTTGTGTCGATTTAATATTCTTGATCGAAATGTCCTGAACTTATTAGGCTTTAAAATGCAGTTTGAATAAATTTGATGCTTATGTCGCGAACTTTTACGGTAGATTTGCAGATGTGTAAGCTTGCGAAATATTTCAGATAACTAACATTCACTTGGATGCGCTCACTAATCGCAAAGCGTCGAAAGCGTCTTACGAATGCACGACGATAGGAAAAACTACTCGCACGGATAAGACGCGAAGTTACAGAAATACGGCAGATAATGAGTTTTCGAACGCATTCTGCTGATAGATATCGCGCGATTATCGCGCGCAGATTAAACGCCCGCGTTTTTGCGTTGCAAAACCGTAACGTACACTAAGAGAAAAATAAGAAATTAACAAATGGATATTTTCGATCAAAATGAATTTTTATATCCTATCAAGGTATCCGATTAAATCGAATACTTCCGATTGTAATGACATTTCATCAGATAAACCGATCAAAAAATTATGAATCGATATTTCTGACGTTTCTTGATCAGATACAAAAATTCATCGGTATTTTGATCGAAAATATCCGTTTGTTAATTTCTTATCGAATAATTTCTCTCAGTGTAGGTAGATTGCCTCGAACTTTATGCGGCAACGCGACGAGTTATGATTGATTAAGTAAAAAAAAAAGAAGGAAATAGGCCGCAAGACATCGTGAAGACGAATGTTCCGTTACGTATCTAATTTACAATGCCGAGGCGATCTTGAGACTCGTCCTGCCGTAGAAAACACCGGGCCGGAGGGATCGATCTTTCCCTCCTTAGCTATTCGACGACGCTAACGAGAGAGCTACGCCGGTAATAATAGTAATATTCATTACTTGACGTCTACGCCCTGAGAGAGAGAGAGAGAGAGAGAGAGAGAGAGAGAGAGAGAGAGAGAGAGAGCCCGAGACGGAGAAAGAGAGTACGTAGGGCGTGAAACCGGGGCGCGGTTGTAACATCTGCTTTAAACGCGTAACTCGCCGCGCGATTATCAGTAATGTTGGCGCGACCGGTGCAGTAATGGTACGCGGTTTGCGCTTTCGTGGAAATGGTTAGTCCTGCAACTTTAATAAGGCGCCATCTCGTGGTCCCCGATGTCGAGTCAGAGAACGAAATGTGGGAATAAAACGAATAAATACGGCGACACATCGTGCCGCGCGAAACGCGGCGAAGTTAATTCGCATTCAATATTTGGTATCAATACGACAATTGGTATCGTTGTAATAAAGAATGAGGAAAGCAATTCTATCGCCTCTCTGTTACATCGAGAGAAAATGTACCTCAAACATAGTGAATTTTTTTTCGCCTAGGAGTATATTAATAACATATTATACCGATATAAAGTATTTTTGAAATGAGAAAATATACATTTTTCTACAGCCTTAAGAAAACCTTAGTTTTTCATGATAACAATTGTTTTATTCTATTTAAGCAAAAGAATTTAGATCTGAACGAATATGTTATTAATACCCAAAAAAATATTTACTTTCGTTTTTTTTTAGACATCTTTTTTCATGTTTTTTGTAAGGCCGATCAATGCTGAGATAGTGATATAAATTATTACAGAGATAATAAATTTAACAATATACGATAGAAAAAACGTTCAAATAATTTAATAGCAAAAAGCCAAACGTGAGTAACACTTTAAAATAAATGCATAGTAAGTCCCGTTATCTCTATATGGTTCAAGATCAAAAAAGTTCTTACTGCAATATTCTCTCCGTCTATATACATCTCAAGACGACAGAGAAAACCGAACATGCAATTAGTGGTCGTTTATCGGCGCGCTCATCGCATATCCATGCCTTATTTTATATAATTAACTGCTGCACTCCACATTATACACTTCATTGTGTCTCGGTCTTAACGCGACGCACGTGACGAGCATTGATAGAGAAAAAGAGAGAGAGAGAGAGAGAGAGAGAGAGAGAGAGAGAGAGAGAGAGAGTAACTTCCCGCCGATCGTACGCTTCAGTGTTATATTCTCGTCGC